CCCCTTCTCTTGCCTTCAAACTTTCCCAACACCAGGAGCTTTTCCAGGGAGTCTTCTCATGAGATGGCCAAAGTATTGAAGCCTCAGCTTCAGGATCTATTCTTCCAATGAGCACTCAGGGTTGATTTCCTTCAGAATGGATAGGTTTGTTCTCCTTGCAGTCCAGGGGACTCTCAAGAGTCTCCTCCCGCACCACAATTCAAAAGCATCAATTCTTTGGCGGTCAGCTTTCACTTCCATACATCGCTACCGGAAAAACCATAGATTTGACTATGAGAACTTTGTCAGCAAGGTGATGTCTCTGCTTTTTAAGATGCTGTCTAGGTTTGTCATTGCTTTCCTCCCAAGAAGCAGGCGTATTTTAATTTAGTGGCTGCTGTCACCATCTGCAGTGATCATGGAGCCCAAGAAAGTAAAATGTCACTGCCTCCATATCTTCCCCTTCTGTTTGCCAGGAGGTGATGGGACCAGTGGCCATGATCTTAAGTTCTTTTCAGGTTGGGCTTCAGACCATTTTTTGTGCTCCCCTCTTTCACCCTAATTAAGAAGTTTTTAAAGTCCTCCTCACTTTCTGCCATCAGAGTGGTATCATCTGCATATTTGAGGTTATTGATATTTCTTCTGGCAATCTTAATTCCAGTTTGGGATTTCTCCAGTCCAGCCTTTCTCGTGATATATTCTGCATATGAGTTTAATAAGCAGGGAGACAATATACAGCCTTGTACTCCTTTCCCGATTTTGAACCAATCAGTTGTTCCATATCCAGTTCTAACGGTTGCTTCCTGTCCCACGTATAGGATTCTCAGGAGATAGATAAGGTGGTCAGGCACTCCCATTTCAGAACTTGCCATAGTTTGTTGTGGTCCACACAGTCAAAGACTTTTGCGTAGTCAGTGAAGCAGAAGTTGATGTTTTTCTGGAACTCTCTGGCTTTCTCCATAATGCAGCACATGTTAGCAATTTGGTCTCTAGTTCCTCTGCCCCTTCGAAATCCAGCTTATACTTCTGGGAGTTCTCAGTCCACATACTGCTGAAGCCTACCTTGTAGGATTTTGAGCATAACCTTGCTAGTGTGTGAAATGAGTGCAATTGTACAGTATTTGGAGCATTCTTTGGCACTGCCCTTCTTTGGGATTGGGATGTAGACTGATATTTTCCAGTCCTCTGGCCACTGTTGAGTTTTCCAAACTTGCTGTCATATTGAGTGTAGCACCTTAACAGGGTCATCTTTCAAGATTTTAAATAGTTCAACTGGAATGCCATCCCCTCCATTGGCCTTGCTGTTAGCCATGCTTTCTAAGGTCCACTTGACTTCACTCTCCAGGATGTCTGGCTCAAGTTCAGCAACTGCACTATCTGGGTTGTCTGGGACGTCCAGATCTTTCTGGTATAATTCCTCTGTGTATTCTTGCCACCTCTTCTTGATGTCTTCTGCTTCTGTGAGTTCCCTCCCATTTTTGTCCTTTAT